AAGAGGTCAGCTGAAAATGTGCACCTTCGGTTGGCCACCAGAAATCAAGCGCCGGTCGCTCTCTGCTCGTATTAATCGACCGTGGCATCAGAATAAATGCCGAATATTATCGCGAAAATATTCTGGAGGGTGTATTAAAGCACACATTTTGGCCGCAGACTTTGGACATTTCAACAGGACTCAGCACCATCGCACTCAGCACGCGCCACCCAAGAATGGTTACAAAATGGCCACCAAAATCTCCGGATACCAATCCGTTGGACTATTGTGTCTGGAGTATTTTGGAAAACAAGGTTGGCACAAAAAAAAATACCAAAGTGTCGATCACCTCAAGCAAGCTCTTCGCCGGGAATAGGCCAAAATACCCCAGAGCAACATTCGGGAGGCGGAAGGAAGGCCATAATTCGTGCTAAAAGTAACCAATTCGGACAAATCTAAACTTATTCTAAAATTTGATGCTATTTCCGATATTTTTTGCTTTCACTCAATAAAATTAAAAAAAAATGTAGACATTTTGAGATTTTTTTCAATTTGACTTACAGTTGTAATATTTTTTCACCTTGCAACACTATTCCTTGGTTGTTATTATATTCAGGTCGCAATATGCATCATTCTTTACGAAATTTTTCTTGGGGGTAGTGTTAGGATCTGTACAGAAGTCTATTTTTGTGGAAGATGTTTGCATAATATTTAGGGTTTGAAACGGACCAAAATCCTTAAAATTGCCTAGATTTTTAGTTGCCCTGCAGTTCTCATGTAGGGACCAATATACATAGATTTTTTAATGTGGATGGCCATCGGATAAAGTTTAGCTGGTGAAATGGATCACAATTTTGTGCGATTTTTAGAGCTCTCAAAGCTCAACAAAAGAAAATAAAGTATCCTCCTTATGTTAATATATACTGCCCATATTTTTATTTACTTTCCCGAACCAAGTGTTTAATATTATTTTCATTTTAATGAAATTACTGAAATAGAACATGGATTTTCTCCTATTGTATGCCAAGAGAAATTGTGTGATGGCTACGCAAAAAATGCTTTTATCAGTTTAAACGTTGCGTAGGTATCAAATGGTACAAATTTCAATGATTTTGTCCCTCTATGAACTAAGTCGAAATGGTACTATTTTTGTGAAATTTGTGCGCTATCAGTGACCTACACGTAACATTTTAGAATTCTAGCTTTTAGAAGATGGGCGAATAATCGGTAGGCCACCTTCTTAAATTGTGGGCTTTTTGTAAGCCGTTAATCAAATCTCTTGCAAAATTCCGTGCCGATTGGTCCATAATTGTAAACTATGGAACCAATATTCCAAGGTTTTGGAAACTGTAAAACTATAAAACCAAACTTATAAAACCCACATAACATCACACTATGGAAAATTTATGAATCTCCAGGAAAAAAAGAAACTAGATTTTCCAGAAAATATAAGAAAATAATTCACATCAATTTTCTAGAAAATTAACTTTGGTGTAAATATTTTCATAAATTTCAATTTAGTGGCATTGATTTGTTATTCAAAGTGGATCAAAAGTTCAAATTAATTCGTAATCAATTTTTCAGATTAAGAATCGCCCTACACAATCTATGAATGAAAAAAATCAATGAATGCGTCGTTAGACTCTCTGAACCCCAAAGACAATTGTTATCATTTACACCACAGCAGATGTTGTGTTCTGTTTAATCTCCCGCTTGGCTGTAATTTGTAAGCATTTGGGTCAGCGAAAGTAATATTTTTAGAATTTTATTAATACACTTTTAAGTATGGCTTTAAACGATGACAGACATTAGCTCTCGGCGTCTAATCAACGCTGAAAATGTCATAAAATCCATATGTTTACAACTTTATTTGCTTGAGTTGTCTCATTACAATGTTGAGAGTTGAAAACATTCAATTTTCAGTGACTTTCAAACTACACACAATCTTTGAGATACTCTTTTCATTTGCCAGAAAGAGCTTTGAGTAACTCTCTTACTCTAACACCGTTATTTCTCTTCTCTTTACACAAGTTGTTACAATTAATGCTCATGACGTTTGAGCTATGTTTCCGGCGCACCTCACTTTAATGGCCATTGTATGAAGCGGGCAACCAGCTAGGCCACAGATGTCTAAGCTTCCCCCCGCCTTTGGTTATAGCGGTTGAACACACACACATGTTGTTACGTCATTGAAACTTGCTCTGGCTTAGATGAGCAACCTGGTGTTCTCCCCATGGATTTGTTCGTTCATTCGTTGATGTGTTGCACCGAGAGTGAGTTTAGTTGTAAACAAAACAAATGTTGTCAACTCTGCGGGTTTGGAGGAGAATTTATCTAGGTTCTAGAGGAAAATTGTCAGAAGAAAACCTTCTTCAGATCTTCTATGAATAAAGAAGTTTTCTGCATGTTTTCGGTGGATAGAAGACATTTTTCAAGTCTTTTAATGATTGAAGATATTATTCAATTCTTAAATTATAGGGACTTCTGTGGATAGAAGAACTTTTTAAAGTCGTCTATGGATAGAAGGACTTCCACAGGTCTTCTATGGAGAGAAACCCTACTTCAGGTCATCTATAGAATGAAGGCCTTCCTTATATGCTTTGTGGATAGAAGACCTTCTACGGGTCCTCTGTGGCTAGAAAATCTTCTTCAAGTCCTTTGAATAGAAAACCTCGTTGAAGCCTTCTGTGGATATCAAACCTTCTTCAGGTCCTCCATGGATAAAGATCTTCTTTACGACCTTTAGAAGACCGTTTATGTCTTCTACAGAGAGATCTTCTTCGGGTTTTCTATAGATGGAAGACTTTTTTCAGGACTTGTATGGATAGAAGACTTCCTTCAGGTCTTCTATGGTAGAAGACCTTCTTTGGGTCTTCTATGGTATTCTATGATTAGAAGACTTCCATAAATAGAAAAACTTCTTCAGGTATTTTATGAATAGAAGACCTTCTTCAGGTCTTCCATGGATAAAACCCTTTTCTTCTATGGGTAGAAGATTTTCTTCGGGTCTTCTACAGATGGAGGACTTTCTTCAGATCTTCTATGGGTAGAAGATCTTCTTCAGATCTTCTATGGATGGACTACTTTTTTGGTATTCTATGATTAGAAGACTTTGTTCAGGACTTCCATAAATAGAAGTACTCCTTCAGGTCTTTTATGGATAGAAGACCTTCTTCAGGTTTTCTATAGACCGAAGACATTATTCCAGTCTTCTGTGGAGAGAAGATCTTCAGGTCTTCTATGGATAGAAGTCTTTCTTCAGCTATCCCATGGGCCCAAGACAGTCTTCAGTTCTCTTATGGATAGAACACCTTCTTTGGGTCTTCTGTGAATAGAAGGCTTTGTTCAAGTCTTCTGAGGATAGAATCTCTTTTTCTGGTCTTCTTTGGTTAGAAGTCCTTCTTTTTGTCTTCTATGGGCTGAAAACCATCTTCAGGCCTTCTATGGATTGAAGATCTTCTTTAGGTCTTAGATGGATTGAATGCCTCCTTTTGGTATTCCATAGATAGAACACCTTCTTTTGGTACTCCATAGATAGAAGACCTTCTTCAAGTCTTAGATGGATTGAAGACCTTCTTCAGGTCATCTATGGATTAAAGACCGTCTTCTGGGCTTCCATGGATATAAACCGTCTTCTTCTATGGATAGAAGACCTTCTTCGGTTCTTTTCAGATCTTCTATGGACCGAATACCTTCTTCAGATATTCTAAGATTAAAATACCTTCTTCAGATCGTTTACAGACAGAAGACCTTCTTCAACTCTCCTGTGGACAGAGGATCTTCTTCAGATCTTTTATGGACAGAAGACCTTGTTAAGATCTTTTGCAGACAGAAGACCTTCATTAGGTCTTTTATTTATTGAAGACTGTATTCAGGTCTTCTATCGATCAAATACCTTTTTAAGTTTTCTGCGGATAGAAGACCGGCTCCATAAAAGGTGTATCAAATTTAGAAAAAAATTGGTTGGCGTAGACGGTGTTGGGCATATGTTGGAGAAAATCTTAAGCTCCTGCAGAAGGTCTGCTACTTAAAACAGCATAAAATTAGGAAAAACTGAGCAGAATCGGGTTGTTCAGGTTTAAAGACTCATATCTCTGGACCCGGCAAAGATAGTACAAGTTGTAGCATTTTGGAATGGTTGGAGTGTTAGCTATAATTCGGTGTGTATTTTGTGGACTCCCAAAGTGGCGTCTTTTTCGACTTTTGGGGATTTTTTTTTTAAATCCAGGTCCAAAAAATCGAAATTTTGATACAACTCTCAAACCTGACCTCTTGTTGGAGATATATTTTCAATAGCTTTCAAATGATACCTATGTATTGGTTTAGGAGGTCCGGGTCTTGTACCCGAACTTTTGGGTTAAATATCCGGTTCCGTCCCTAAAATAAAAATATTTCCCCAAAATCCCCTACCTGTGAACTAAATTGTTCCTCATGTCCTGTTTGGTTGGCAGACCTTCTTCAGGTCTTTTTTTTTCTTTATCTGAGACTTCTCTTTGTAAAATAACGTTTTCAGGAGAGGACATTTCGTCAATCTTCTAGCATCTAATATTAAAAAACGCATAATTGACATCACTCATCAAATCTATTGGGGGGTTTTATGTGAGCTTAAAACGGGTTTGCTGTAATATCCCATAAATTCTAGAGTATTTCAAGAGAGCCAAAGAGAGCATGTCACACTGCATATGTTATGTTTACTTTTGTGAGTGCTGTGTTTTTAGTGGGTGATAGGCAAACTCACAACAAATATGGTAAACTCTGTCTTAGGTTTGAATATTGGGAGAAGAGAAGGTCTTTTTGGGGAGATTTGACCGAGTCTCATGGTGAGATAGATATGTGCAAATTTGTTTTTTTTGTTTATTTTTCGGTATCTAAGCCACAGTTTTCGTTGTTGTTGTTGCTACTGATTGGTTGGTTGGTTGGGCTTGTAATGTGTTGGGTTTGTTTGGCTCTGTGTTTAGATTGTGTGCCCGAGTGCTTTTGTTTTTATTCGACGGTGGGGAGTAGTAAGCGTTGGTCTCGCGCACTTGTTGTGTGCGCCTGTGTTTGTTTTTGTCTTGGAGGTGCACCAAACAAACAATTATCAATCAGTCTGTTTAGAAACAACGATCGATCAACAACGTGTCTGACGGAAGTGTGGCCAAGAAAACGAAGGCACATTACAAAACGGTGGTGAATGGAAATGTAAAGCCGTGCAGTTTGCAGTGCGAGCTTTTCAATTTTTATATTTTTTACATTATTCTAAACATCTCTGCGGAGGTGAGGTGATAATAGTGAAACAAATTTCGCAATGATAAGGAAAGATTTTTAAACAAAAAAATATTAAACGAATTTCCATTTAAACGTTATAAAAATAATTGCCATTCATGGATTTCCTTTTAATTACACAAATAAAAAATTTATAAATAGTGCAACAAGAGTATCCATTCATGAAATCAATATTGAATTAAAGTGTGCAACATAACTGTGAATTGTATAATTGTAAGAAACATCATCTTGTGAGAGCAAAAGAGAATAATAAGAGATATCTGCTCCAAAGTGCATCGGAATCGTAAGAAATGTGGAAAAAACGTGCGCGTGTCTAATAATCGCTGTTATCATCTTCAAATCATCAACCCAATAAAAACAACATCAACAAAAACGAGAAGACAAACTTTATAATCCCCCGCTTAAGCCGCTGAATTGATGTAACACAGAGTCAAATATCAAAATATTGAATCTGTTTTTTAAATGTAAACAAGTAAGCGACAATTCAAATCCCATCCGACAGCAGCCAATGTTAAATACCCTACACCAATTTTTGATTTAAATATTGCGAGAGTGAAAATTAGTAACAAAGTGTAAAAATAATTAAAAAAAAATTCTCGAGATAAATAAAGTTCAAATTTTTAAATACGCCTATCAATTTCCCTATTCTATTAGCCTCGAACATTTCAATATTTTCTTAATCTCGCAAACAATAAAATTTGAACATAAATCTGTGAAAATATGAATTTATGAAAACAAAAACATTTCGTCATTCGAATATTAATGTGTATATCGAAGATTTATCATTGAATTATCAATTTTTGGTTTATGTAATAATAGTTTTAATTGTTTGCAAGATTTAGACAATATTAAAATATAGGATACAAATTTGATAGATGAATATAAAAAATTGAACTTTATTTTTCTTGAGGATAATTTACTTGCAAAACCATTTTCGAAATTAATTTTTCGTAAAACTTTCATCTCCACAATTAAGCTTCTCTTAAAAAATGTAATGTTAAAAAGGGTGTTTTTTTAAAATTTTGAAAATATTGGTAAAAACATATTTTTAACAGAAGCAATTGGGGATATAAATTTAACATTAACAAGTAAAAAAGCAGTAAGTTCGGCCGGACCGAACTTTGAATACCCTCCACCATTTGGAACGAATTAGAAAATTTTCAAAAAAAAAATAAAATCCATTAAAAATTCTTTTAAAATCTTTAAAATATCTAATATAGGAAGGTGCCGATATGGGGGGATATACGATATTGTGGACCTATAAAGACAAATCTATGTCTGCGTGTATAGTACTCGCAAGGAACTCCTTGTGTGGATTTTCAAAATACCGAATATCGCGGGGTATCGTTATATGGGAGCTATACGTTATCGTTAACCTATACAGAGAATTCTCTGTCGGGGGGTAAAGTGCTCACAAAGAACCCCTTGTGTACAAAGAACCCCTTGTGACCATTTCATTGAAAAATATGGCTAAAAACATTAAAATACCGAATATCGGGAGTACCGTTATATGAGGGCTATACGATATCGTGGACCTATATAGATAATTCTCTGCCGAGGTATAAAGTACCCACAAGGAACTCCTTGTGTGGATTTTCAGACAATTCCGATGAAAATGTGGGTAAAATCATCAAAATACCGAATATCGGGGGTACCGTTATATGGAGGATATACGATATCGTTGACCTGTATAGACAATTCTCTCTCAGGGGGTGAAATACTCACAAGGAACTACTTGTGTGGATTTTAAGACAATTCCATTGAAAAGTGTGGCTAACATCATTAAAATACCAAATATCGGGGGTACAGTTATATAAGGGATATACGATATCGTGGACATATATAGGCAATTCTTTTTGAGGGGGTAAAATGCCCACAAGGGACTCCTTTTGTGGAATTTCAGACAATTCCATTGAAAAATGTGGAAAAAATCATCAAAATACCGAATATCGGGGGTACCGTTATATGGGCTATACGATATCGTGGACCGATATAGCCCATCCTCGAACTTGACCTGCCTGCAGACAAAAGAGAGATCTGTGCAAAATTTTAGCTTCCCATCTTAAATCGTTTAGACTGTAGCGTGATTACAACAGACGGACAGACGGACGGACGGACAGGGCTAAATCGTCTTAGAATTTTACGCTGATCAAGAATATATATACTTTGTTGGGTCTAAAATGATTATTTCGATGAGTTACAAACGGAATGACGAACTTAATATACCCTCCATACCTTTTTTGGTGGAGGGTATAAAAATTATCTTACCGATCCATACTGGCTAGATATTTTATAAAAAAAAAACACAATTAAAAAAGCGTCTAGGTTCGGCCGGCCGAACTTTTAGTACCCTCCGCCATTTGGAAGGAATTGCAAATTTCCAAAGAAAAAGAAAAAAGTCCTTCGAAATTTTATCTGCAAAAAATGTACAATCTCATATACCAAAAAAGGGGATGTTCCCTAGACCGCTTTTAGCTCGAAAACGGATGGAAGGTTTTCATAATTCTCACCAATTTAGAATGGCCTTTTGGCAGAATGGCATACAATGGTAAAAAATGGCTAAGAAAGGTGTGAACATTTTTTCTGTTATATTTTTCATTTTTTGTCAACACTATGTGTTTGGGGGTATTATAAGTTCATTGGGCCAAAAAACTTGTAACACCTCGTAATATTGGTTCAGCACGTAGGATGTTATATATAATAGAAGCCTAATGTTGGGAGACTTGATCGCAAAACATTTAGGGGTTGAAATGGACTAAAAATAGAAAAATTTCCTGATTTTACAGTTGCTCTAAAGGTACCAATTATATCGACCCGGAATTCAGCAGCCTACCATTTTGTTTGTTCATTCAATAATATTTAGCGGGTGAAATAACATTTATTTATAAAAATACAAAAATTTCCATATTTTTCATTTAAGCGAAAAGATCAAAGATATCCCATTTATAGTCTAATATATACAATCTCATATATCACAGCAAGGGATGTTAATTAGACTGCTTATAACTAAAGAACGGCTGGATGGATTTTGAAATTTCTCACCAATTCAGAATGTCCTATTGGCAGAAAAGAATAAAATCGCATACGATGTAGGGTGTAAATGTAGAGCAAATGCCACGAAGAAAAGCCAAGATAAAATTTGTGCAATGCGATGTGACATTACTTCAAGGAGAAAAGAGGTATTTGCTGTAGTAGGATCATCTGGTTCGTCAAATACCGATGCTTATTAAGAGCTTGTATGTTTTTGAAAACTATTGTTTCCAGATCTATGCTGATTATTCGAAAAGCAAGAGCAATTAGGTTCATCATTATAGTCAAAAGAGTTTCAGACCTGCAGAAACTTTACTGCAAATTGTAGTGTTATAGGGTATCAAATGGTCGGACCCGTCGCAACTACATCCTTTGCCTACTTTTTTTGGCAAAAGTACTTATACATACATTTTCACATTTATTGGCATTCACAATCGAAGTATTATTCAAAATTATTACCTTTTCTTAAGGTGGTACTGAAAAGAGTGGACCTATACGTAATATTCACAATAATCTAAGATTCGTGGAAATTTTGATATATACGAATTTTAAAACAAATCGCTGTCTTTTAGTCATTAGTCTGAGAGCATTAAAGTTAGTAGTTTTTCAGAATTATCAAATATGACCAAAAAATCTGAACAAAAATAAAGTCTATTTTAAATGTTTTATTTCGATACCCTCAGCAATATGTCTAGAGAGGGTATATATCATTTGATACGGTCAAAACATGCCTAGTCGAAAGAACGGTTTTAGACCAAATCTGTTTCAGGTCATTTGGAGTCGATCTAGCGATGTCCGTCCGTCCGTCTGTCTGTTTAGCTGGAGCACACGATAACTGTCGCAGGGAGTATCCGATTTGGTCCAAACTTGGTACATCGTAATATTTTTGTCAAACTTAGATCGAGTTCGGAGATGGGCAATAGCGGTCCACTCCTTCTGCTACCTCCCCACAAAAGGTCGAAATTTTCAAAAAATATATTTTCTGCACAGAAAGAGGAACGATAATCCCATTTTGCTCCAACTTTGCAAATCCTAATATTTGCATCAGTTCTAGATCAGGTGCGGACAATATCGGTCTACTCCATAAAGTTACCTCCCCCACAAAGAATCAACATTTTGAATAATTACAACTCATATAAAATGTTATGTAAGTGTCCGATTGTCTTCAAATTTCACACATCTCAATATTTATGTTAACCCAAGGTGTGGTGTAAAAATGGAATATATCGGTCCACTACTTCTGCTACCTCCCCCATAAATGGTCGAAATTTTCAAAAATATATATTTCTTGCACAGATAGAGAAACAATAATGCGATTTTGCTCCAACTTTGCAAATCCTAATATTTGCGTGAGTGCTAGGTCAGGTGTGAAAATGGACACTATTGGTCCACTCCATCAAGTACCTCCCCCACAAAAGGTCAAAATTTTGAATAATTATATCTTTCCTAAAATGTGATGTAAGAATCCGATTGTCTTAAAATTTCACACATCCCAATATTTTCATAAACCCAAGATCTGGTGTTAAGATAAAATATATCGGTGCACTATTTCTGGTACCACTCCCACAAAAAGGTAGAAATTTTAAATATCCATTAAGCTCATAAAACGCTTAACGAAACGCTAAAATGAAATTAACATCCGATTCCATTTAGAATCTTTTAAAAAAACTCCAAAGGGTAAAAATTTTAAATACCCATGAGGGTCATAGGATCTCTTTATATTTCACACATCCCATTATTTCTACTTAAATGAGATCTGTTGTGAATATGGAATATATCTGTCCATTCCTTCTGATACCTCACCAACAAAGGTTAACAATTTTGAATATCCATGAAGCTCATAAAAAGCGAAATTAACATCCGATTCCAGTCTGGACTTGGTACATCTCTATATTTCCATCAACACCAAATCTAATATAAGGATGGTAGAGAACTTTTGCTACCTGCCCACATTGGGTTCAAGATTTTGGAAAACAAAACGCTCAAAGAAAGCGAAACAAGCATCCAACTCTCCTCAAATTTCACACATACAAATATTTTTGCTAATACGAGATCTCTTGTGAAGATAATATTTCTACCTTCTGGTACCTCCCACAAAGGGACACAATTTTCAATAAAACTGCCCAAAGATTCTTACAATCTTCTAATTTTAAGTTAAACTCACTGTACCACCGTTGGGAATATGAGGGAGTTTTTTTACAGTCTTACATCAATAACTCATTGCGTTTATTATACCCTCCACTATGGAGGGTATATTAATTTTGTCATTCCGTTTGTAACTCCTCGAAATACTCATGTCAGACCCAACAAAGTATATATATTCTTGATCAGCGTAAAATTCTAAGACGATTTAGCCATGTCCGTCTGTCTGTCTGTCTGTTGTAATCACGCTATCTTTCGAACAAGTTATCGTATAGCCCCCATATAACTGTACCTCCCGATATTCAGTATTTTGATAATTTTAGCGACATTATTCACCGGAGTTGTTTCAAATTTGGCATTTGAAGTTCGTAATGAATACTACAGCCTAGGACAGAAAATTATCTGTGCGCGTCCACGTCTTCGTGTAGCCCCCATATAAAGGTATCCCCCGATATTCGGGATTTTGATGATTTTAGCGACATTCTTTACCGGAATCGTTTCAAATTTGGTATTTGAAGTTCGTAATGGATACTACATCTTAAGTCAAAAAAAAAAATGAGCCATGTAGGTCCACGTCTTTATATAGACCTCATATAACGGTACCCCCCGATATTCGGTATTTTGATGATTTTAGCGACATTATTTAGCGAAATCGTTCCAAATTTGGTATTTGAAGTTCGTAATAGATACTGCAGCATAAAACAGAAAATGAGCCATATGGGTCCACGTCTTCATATAGCCCCCATGTACCGTACCCCCCGATATTCGGTATTTTGATGATTTTAGCGACAGTATTTACCGGGATTGTTTCAAATTTTGCATGTGAAGTTCGTAATGGATACTTCAGCCCATGCCAGAAAATTGTCTGTGCAGGTCCATGTCTTCTTATAGCCCCTATATAACGGTACCCCCATAGTCGGTATTTTTATGATTTAAGCTATATTATAAACAGTTTTTTTTCAAGTTTCGCATTTAAATATTGTAAAAACTTATGACAAAAGTTGCCTATGCAGGCCCACGTCGTCGTATAAGCATTCGGTATTCTTAAGATTTTAACAGAATTTTTAACGGATTTTATTTTTTGGAAATTGCCAAATTTGTACCAAATGGTTTGTTTTTTTTTCATTTAAGAACGCCGAGTCTTGGTATCACAACGAAGAAGATAAAAAAATAGTTCTGATAGTTTTTAAGAAATAGCTTATTTTTTGTAATTTATTGGAAATTTTTTTATATTACCTTGTAATGGATTATTCGGCTCATACAGCTTCCAAATTTTTGCTGGGCTATCACTGCCAGTATTCGAGTAACAAATACTCCAATAATAACTAATGATTCTAAAAAAAATGTCACTCGTTTTACATATCTGCAAATTAAATATCTCAAACATGGTGTAGGGTACACCATTACCCTGCTGCAATTCAATTTTTTTCTATTTACTCTAACATTCCTGTTTTTATTCAATTCAATGCATTTTTAGGGTAATCCAGCTCAAATGAGGAAAAACTGCAATGGCATAACTGTTACACACCAGCCGCCAGCATGTTGTTGTATTTGTTGTACAATATGTGTTTTTTTTTTTCTTACTGAACCATGAATGAGTATCAACAGCAACAGCAACAACAACAACGTGAAGGAAAAGCCCCCTGCCATCATTAAAGAAGTGTGGTGAGCCTTAAAGAAGTACTAATCCAAATCCTAGCAACAACTCCTATAACTTACATATGCAATAATCCGGCTATCGCGAAAGAAAGAAAAAACTTGCCACAGTGTCAGCTAAGCCCGCGCATACCACAGGCCACCGCCACCACCACCGTCAACATTCGTCTATGGTTTTTGCCAAAAAAAACTACAACTACTACAACAGCAGTAACAACAAATATATATTACATTGCATATATCGTTCGTATCTATAGCGTCGCGTGTTTTATGCCTTTGCCGTTTGGAAATATTTTATTCGGTTGTACCTCCGTCGTCGTCGTCGCGGCAGTCTTCGGCACTGCACTGCTGTAGTAACAGCAACAAAGTTTCGCAGTAGTTCGAATATCTGTAACATTAGCTTGGCGAACGAAAAGCAATTGGCTTCATTTCTGTTTTCAAGTTAATTTTAATTTCATTATTTAGAGTGTCGTATGTTTGTATGTACGTGTGTGTCTGATTGCCTTAAGTTCTCCTAACATTACTTACTCCACTCTACAACTTGCTGCTACTTACTCCTCCCTTGTCGTTGCCTTCATTGTACCAGTCATTCGCTTGGTGTACTACATATAAATTGCAAAATTTACCAACAACACCAACAACAACAATCATCAGATTGAATGTGAATTTCAGTTTCTTAGTGAACATGCCCTGCTGCTGCTGCTGCATAGCTTAAGCAAAGAAAAAAAAATTGAAACAAACGAAATTAAATCGAATTGAAAACGATAACAAAAACAAAAAAGAAATACCTAGTTGCTGTTTTAAGTGCTTTTTAATCAGAATTGAATTCGAATATCAAAACAAAACAAAGCAAAAACAAAAAAAAAAAAAAAACGACAAACGAAACAAAAATAAAAATTAAAAAGTGTTTTTATTTTTAATATTTGATTACAACTAAAATCGAAAAGAAAAAAATATTTAAGAAATAAAACGATAAACTCCAGTGCTTGGTGTATTTACAACGAAAAAGAAAACAAAACCTTTATCGAAGTTTTGTTTTGAAATTGTAACCCCATAATCGTGGGCGATTTTTTTTCTGCTGCTGCACTCAGTGGAGATTGAGGATATTCTTAAGCCAAGGTAAGATAAAGTAGAATAAAATTTTAATTTTTCAAAAAACAAAAAAAAAAACATTACTTTTTTTGACACATTCGTTTCGTATATAAACAGTAAGGAAAGGACAACTGGGGATATTCTTTACCACTCTGCCTATTTTTATACCCTACACCACAAGGTGGTCAGGGTATTATGTCTTTGTGCATTTGTTTGTAACAGGCAAAAGGAAACGAGATAGACCCATAGTTCCTTTTGATGATCTGCATAGAATCACATTCTGAGTCGATTTATGCATGTCCGTCCGTCCGTCCATCTGTCTGTCTGTTCATGTATTTTTGTAAACAAAGTACAGGTCGCATTTATTGCCCTATCCAGATGAAATTTTGCACAAATCATTTGTTTGGCCCAAGGACGAACCCTATTGAAATTGGAGATAATCGGTCAAAATGTAGATATAGCTCTCATATATATCTTCGTCCGATTTGCCTTTTATTGTACACCAAACGTGTAATATCTGTCCGAATTGTATGGAATTTTGCACGTACGATCAGATTGGACCTGAAAATAAGTATGCCAAATTTGATCGAAATCGGTTCAGATATAGCTATAGCTCCCATATATACTGTTCATCCGATTTGTTATTTTTGTCCTCCGCAGCCGTAATATGCATTCTGTAACAATAATATTTGGGGAAATATATAAAATACAGCTCAGAAATACATTTGCTAAATTTTACCGAAATCAGTTCAGATTTGGATATAGCTCCCATATATAACTTCGTCCGATTTACTTTTTACCAAACGTCTAATATTTGCCCAAATGGAATGAAATTTGGCACTTACGACCAAATTGAGTCTAGAAGCTAGTATGTCAAATTTGGTGAAGATTGGTTCAGATATAGCTATAGCTCCCATATATACTCTTCATCCGATTTGTTATATTTGTTACCCACAACCGTAATATGCACTCCGTAACAACGATATTCAGGGAAATATATCAAATACAGCTCAGAAATATCGTTGCCAAATTTTATCGAGATCGGTTCCGATTTGGATATAGCTACCATATATATTTTTATCCAAGTCCGAATTTAAAAGATACAAATGCTTCGGCATATTTAGTCCTTTGAACTTTAATTTATAATTGTAATCATAGCGTGTATGATTGAATTCTCCCATAAAAACTTTTAATTGTTATTCGGAGCTCTACTAAATTAGCAAAGTGGTGTAGGGTATCATAAATTCGGCCCCGCCCGACTTTAAGACTTTCTTTACTGTTTTGTAACAGATTCATGCAATGAGGGTTTTTGTTAAGCAAAACATTCCGACTATGATACAGCGACAGTCGATCGAAAATTGTCCATTGTAAGGAGTTGTCCGCCTGGGGGAGGTTAAATAAAACAATTTAAAAAGTATCAGTCGGGTTTGCCGACAGATGTATACCCTCAGTCAATTTTCGATTATTTTAATATATTATGACTTGTGTTACGATTAATATGATATAAAAATTGCGACGTGCCAGGTTTGGACTATATTGGTTACTCATATTGGTTATTTATATTTAATTTTATGCGAATTGAAAAAAGAAATTGAAATTTGAAGAGAGTTGGATGCTTAATTCGCTTTGTTCCTTAGCGTTTTGTTTTTCAAAATATTGAACCCTATGTGGGGGAGGCCATCGTTATAATAGATGATGTGTTAATGGATATATTGAAATGTGCCAAGTCTGAATGGAATCGGATGTTAATTTCGTGTTTTATAAGCTTCATGGATATTCCAAAATTGGACTTTTTGTGGGGGAGGTACCCGAAAGAGTGAACCGGTATATTTCATCTTAGCACCAGACCTTGGGTTTATAAAAATATTGGGATGTGTGATATTTGAAGACAATCGGATTCTTGCATCACATTTTATAAGAGTTATAGTTATTCAAAATGTTGACCCTTTGTGGGGAGGGACATGATGGAGTGGATCGATATTATCCATTTTTGCATCTGACCTAGAACTGACGCTAATATTAGGATTTGTTGGCGGAAAATCGGATTATCGCTTCTCTTTCTGAGCAGAAATTTATATATTTTTTAAAAATGACGAGCTTTGTTGGGGAGGTATCAGAAGGATTGGACCAATATATTCCATATTAATTTGAAGACGATCGTATTCTTACATCACATTTTTGAAGAGTTGTAATTTTTGAAAATTTTGACCCTTTTCGGGTGAGGTACTTGCTGCAGTGGACCGGTTTTGTTCATTTTCGCACCTGACCTGGCACTGACGCAAATATTAGGATTTACAAAGTTGGAGCAAAATCGGATTATCGTTCTTTTTTCTGTTCAGAAAATATATATTTTTTTGAAAATTTCGACTTTTTGTTAGGAGGTACCAGAAGGAGTGGACCGATATGGCCCATTTTCGAATTCGATCTATGTTTGACAAAAATATTACGATGAACCAAATTTGGACCACATCGGATACTCCCTTCGAGAATTGCCGTGCGCGGACATCGCTAGATTGACTCCAAATGTCCTGAAACAGATTTGGTCCAAAGAGTCCTAGGGTCTAAAACCGTTATTTCAAATGATATATACTCTCTCTAGCCATTTGGCTGAAGGTATGAAAAGGTAAAAAGTTTTTATTCATTTAACAAAATATAACAAAAGAAGATCGGCGGAAACCTCCTTACTATGGGCAAATTTCGGTAGACCGTACCCGTCCACTGTTTGGAGCTGTCACTGTAGTTACCAAATGAGATCCATATCTTGAGCTGATTCAATTTGGAGGCTTTATGTGTTCTCTCTTACCATTAGATCTATTCTAAACTTGATCGTATGATCATCATCTTAATTGGACAAATAAAGTTGAGTTAGTGCATCATTAACATCAAATCGGTGTCAATATCTAAATATGTACAGTAAGATTTTGAGAGGATTCGAAAGAGGATATTTTGTACCTAAATCGATTATTTTCAAATTTTATAGACTGGCTTCTAGTATTGAATCAACTCGGTATGTCAAATTTTATCCTGTTTGGGAAAATGTTACACAATTAAAATACATGGGCAGACGCACGGACTTACACAGATCGACCAAGAAAGTCGGACCGTGCTTCAGAATAATTTTTCCTGACCAAAAATTAAAATATTAATAGATTTTAATAAAGAAGCCAATTATTTTTGTATGTATATTATACCCTCCACCATTCAATGGAGGGTATATTAACTTTGTCATTCAGTTTGTAACTCCTCGAAATACGCATGTTAGACCCTACAAAGTACAGGGTGAGATAAAAAGGATAAAGATAAAAAACTGCAGCAAAGTTAAACGACATAATTTTTAATTTTTTTTTTAAATTTTATTGAATGAAAGCCGAAAATTTCGGAAATAGCTTTGGCCAGAATTATGGCCTTCAAACGGCCAATGAAACCGTCACACGCAGCCCGAATGATGCTCTACCGTATTTTGGCCCATTCCCGGTGAAGCGCTTACTTAAGGTGATCGACACTTTGGTGTTTTTTTTTTTTTTTTTTTTTTTGCCAACCTTGCTTTCGAAAATACTCCAGACACAATAGTTTAACGGATTGGTATCGGGGAGATTTTGGTGGCCATTGTGCGCTGGAATTGAAGCGAGAAACCTCATTTTGTAACCATTCTTGGTTGGCGAGTGCTGAGTGCGATGGTGCTGAGTCCTGTTGGAATGTCCAAGGTCTGCGGCCAAAATGTTTGCGTGCCCAAGGCTTTAATACACCCTCCAGAATATTTTCGCGATAAAATTTGGCATTTATTTTAATGCCACGGTCGATTAATACGAGCGGAGAGTGACCATCGGCTGTTATGGCTGCCCACACCATAACCATGGCCGGCGCTTGAGTTCTGATGGCCAACGCAAGGTGCACATTTTCAGCTGACCTCTTTGTCAAGTAAACATGATCGTTTTGTTTGTTTACAAACTGCTGGACAACGAATGTTTTCTCATCGGAGAAAACCAAATTCGGCAGTCCACCACTTTCGGCCAAACGAAGCTAGTCTCTTAAGCTAGTCTTTTTTCTTTATGTTGAGGGGTAAGTTCTTGCACTTTTTGGAATTTCAATGGCTTTACCTCGAGCTCATTTTTCAATATTTGTCGAATGGAATATTGTGATATGTTCAGCTCACGAGCCATTTTCGGCCACTGCGACGTGGGTTTCGATTAGCTTCTTTACTTTTCGAACCATTTCTGCTGATGTTGCTGGTTTCTTCCGTCCACTTCCTTGACGTCGGGCTACGCTACCATTATCACGGTAACGATCGATGGTACGTGACACAAAAGAGTTATTGACATTTAAATGCTGGAGTGCTCTAACGATTGTGGTTTTCCATCCAAATATAAAGAAATCACACTATCACGCCTGAATTCCATCACGAGTAACTTTTTTTCGGGAAAATTCTCACCAAAATGCTTTTGTACGCTTGTAAACAATATAATGAGCTGTCACTGGAATAATTTTAACAGATGTCGGACGAGTGGCTTAGAAATGACAGCAGTCTGAAGTTGTTTGCAGTTTTTTCATCTCACCCTCACCTTCACTATAATTTGACAAACTAAACTCCCACTGGATAATTACTTTCAAATCTCCGATTGCATTAGCCACTATAAACGTCACAATAAAACCAACCTCCTGTTAATTAATACAGTCTATTAAATTTTTTCCCAGGAGAATTACACGACAACATTTTATTGCTTTTAATTGCTGGTTTGAAAAAACTAAAAGACAAACAGAAGTCCCATTGCTTTGGGAGAGTCATTTGTAAAGTTTGTTGCCTAAGTCTTTTGTTTCTTCCATTTCTGCTCTACTTCCCCATTTGCTAAATTGACAACATTTGTAGGCTAAAATCATATTTTTTATGATTTTCAATTTGCATAAACTTGAAACCCAGGCAACCTTGTGCCGCTCCACCAAAAACAAAAAAAACCTTTTGAAATATGAACTTAATTTGAAACATAGACAACATTTTTCAATTAGATTACCATCATTTGTTGCCGTATCTG